CTTCCTCTCTCCTCAATAACTCCCATCCATAATTTTGAATTCTATTACAATATTTTTTTTTAGGTTTTTTACTTTTATACATTGTCAGTACTTAGTTGTTAAAAAATATTTCAATTATGTTTTATTTGGTAACCTTAACTCTCCTTGAGTTGTATAACTTTAGTTCTAAATGCTAGGATTCTGGCCTGTCCTTTTCTAAAGTTCTTTATTTTGACTACTTTTTACTGGGGGCTAGATTGTTGTACTAAGATATTATTTCTCAAAAATAAAGTCTTATGGATGCTATATTTTCTAAGACCTTACATATTGAGGATAGGAGATCTTTCATTTTTCCTTATGCATCAATAATAATATTCTTAGGTTACATTTTCTCCTCCTTAGAAATTTGTAAGCATTTTTCTATTGTCTTAAAATTTAATATTTGTGAAGTTGTTTGAGACCAGTTCTCTTTTCTCTTCTCATTTATTTTTTTTACTGGAGGTTTAGTAATTATTATTTTCTCATTTATTTTTTTTACTGGAGGTTTAGTAATTTCAGAGAAACATAATAAGATGTTAGTGAGATTGCATAATTTTAATCTTAGAATTCATGCATCTTTTTAGGAACCTAAACATACCTTTAATAAAATTTAATTAATTTAACAATAATTTAAATAAGTAAATTTCATTACAGGTGCTTACAAATATATAATGCACAGCACAGTAGTTAAGACTGCAGTATTTGTAGTCATATTTTCTGTCCAACCATTGTTTAGCTATCTAACCTTAAGCAGGTTATTTGTGTCCTCTAGGTCTCAGCTCATAATCTGCAATTACAAAGGGTAGGTAATAAGGACTACATGATAAGACATAATATGTGTAAAGTATCTCAGCACATAGTAGGCATTCAGGAAGTTATCATCATTATCATCATTATTATAATTAGTTATTGACACTAGATTCAATTTTTAAATTCCATCTTTTTCCCCAACCTATATACTTCACTAATATTAAGATTCTACATGTTTAATCCACAGTACCTTGTATTGAATATTTATTATGTTTTCTTTATGTAATTTTTATATCTACAACTTTCATTCCTGCATTTGGCATGATTTTCTACAGTCTGAACTTTGTTATTGCCTTGATTTTTTTTCCTACATTGGTTCTCTTTCTTACTGTTTTTAGATTGATCTATTAGTTACTACAAAGATTGCTTTGCCTTAATTTTCTCTCTTTTAATCTCTTCTTATTTATTATCTTATCCTTGATATTTTGTTTAATATATATATTTTTTAAATTTTGGCAAGAAAAAAATTGTTCCAGAAAATATTAATTTATTCTGAAATAGAATTTATTTTTCCACAAAAGGCCATTGTCTGTTTTGAGGATGTTGAGTTCTTCTCTGTCACCTTCCTATTTGGTAGGTTTCTCCAACAGTTGCCATGCTGTTTCTTTGTTTATATGCTTCATCTTGATGACTACATTGTTACGGGGTTTTCCCATTTGCTCAGGCATAGCTTGGGTATATTTCTCTTGATTCTCTTGATTCTGCTTGCACTAATTACTGGCACTTGTTTACACATCATCTCTGTCTCTTTGCAGAGCCTCATTTTGAGCTGGGTTGATTGTTTTTGTTTTGTTTTTCTGTTGTCATTTCATTTTCTATGGCTTTTGGATGGAGAGGAGAGAAACTGCCCATGGGTTTTTGGATTCCTCTATCTATCTACTTCTCCAACACTGATTATGTTTGGACACAGTTTAATGTTTTCTGTTTCTTCCTCATTTGAGCAGCAGACTGATTGTGTGTGTACATGTGTGTATGTGTGTTTGTGTATGCACTGCCACATTCTCTAGTGGTGCTAGTGGGTATATAAACTACAGCAGAACTTTGCTAGGAAACAACTTGGCAATATTTAAAGGCACATAATTTTGAACACTCATTTATTTTTATTTTTTATTTTTATTTTTTATTTTTATTTATAAGTTGGAGTCTCACTCTGTCGCCCAGACTGGAGTGTAGTGGCCACTCCCGGCCACCGCAGCCTCAACCTGCTGGGCTCTGGCGATCCTTCCACCTCAGCCTTCCAAGTAGCCGGAATTACAGGCACGCGCTAGCACGCCCGGCTGATTTTTTTATTTATTGTAGAGATGAGGTCTCGCCAAGTTGCCCAGGTGGTTCTCGAACCCGCGGGCTCAGGCAATCCACTCACCTCAGCCTCCCAAAGGCAGGATTACAGGCTGGGCCACCGAACCCGGTTCCAGCATTTATTTTTTAAGAAATATATTGAGAACATTGGTGTGCAAATATGACAACAATGTCATGCTTATTTTAGAGTTGTTTGTAATGGAAAACCACTTAGGAAACAATGCAAATATCTAGTAGGTGGTTATTAAATAAATGCTAAATAGATTATGGTAGACATACTCAATTAAATATCTTATTGCTGTTAGAACTTACTTAACTTAGATTTAAATATATTAAAAGGTAAGTAGAAAGTAACAGCATATACAATATGATTATTTATATATAAGTAAATCACTGGTTGTAAATGCAATGCAAAGTTAATAATTATTTCTGGGGGAATTTGAGGTGGTTTTCACTATCTTTTGTATTTACTTTTAAGAATAATTATGCATTAGTTTTATAATTAGAAACATAGTTACAGAGTTAAATAAAGAAAAACAGAGAAGTCGGGTGCAGTTGACTCATGCCTGTAATCCCAGCACTTTGCGAAGCTGAGGCGAGGGGATTGCCTGAACTCAGGGGTTTGAGACCAGCCTGAGCAACATGGTGAGACCTCATCTCTACAATAAATAAAAAAAATTAGCCAGGCATGGTGGCATATGGCTGTGGTTCCCGCTACTTGGAAGGCTGAAGCAGAAGGATTGCCTGAGTCCAGCAGGTTGAGGCTGCAGTGGCAGTGAGCGTGCCACTGCACTCCAGCCTGGGTGACAGAGTGAGACTCTGACTCAAAAATAAAAGAAAGAAAAACTGAGAAAGATACACAATTCCCGTCACCAACTCTAGAATAATTCCAACTCTTAATTGAATATTCTTTGCCTAGTACTGTGTAAGACCCTTAATATAACTTTTTCACTTAATCCTCTCAGCAGCTCTATAAGGCAGAAATTAGTGTTTTTAGTTTTTAGTTGAGTAATTAAAGGTTGGAAAGGTTAAACATACCCAGTGTCACACAGTTGATAAATGACAATGCCTGAATGTGAAACCAGTTCAGTAAGACTCTAAAATCCACCAATCTTCTCAGTACCTCTCAGGATTGTTACATACATCCTGATGCTTTAACATGTTACAGATTTAATAGAAAGCTCATTATTTGAACTTTTGAATACTAGTCCTTACTTTATACTCTAAGTATGAAATTAAAAGGAGTCAAAGGACAGAGCAAAGACATACCCAACAGAGAAAAGCATAAAAGAGAAAGACATTAAAATTCATATTTCAATGTATAAAATTCATATTTCATTGAACATTCTATTTAGCATATTTTATGAAATAGAGAAAGAGTTCTTGACAAACGAAGGTTCAAATAATGAGATCAGAGAGTATTAACTCGTTCAAGCCTTTAACTGAACAATTTAATGCACCAATGAGGCAAATTTTCTTCAAAATATCCTCATGGTCTGAGGATATTCTGAATTTTAGTGTGGATTTACCCAGTCATTAGGCCAATCATGTAATGTGCTTTTATTTTGGTTTTGAAAAATACAACATTCTTCAACACTTTTGATCATAAATTCAAATTCCAACTTTCATACATGTTTTCTTCTACATGATTAAGATTCTACTCAGTATAATACCCAATCAAATCAATCTCCTTTATTTTCAATGAGAGTAGCTAAAATTTAGAAATAAGAACAAAAGCAACAACATCAATGAGATAGCTTGAGAACACAAAGTACTGAATGTTCAGAGGATTAGAACTAAAATAGTGATAAACAATCTCAAAACATCTCTTCTCCTGGAATCTACTGTCATTTATCGGACTTTGTTACTATATAACACAACAAGTAATGGAATCAAAAAGTAACAAAACATCAAAACAAAACAGCAATTTAATCTATCCTTATACATCCTCCACCCCCACAGCTACAACAATGGGGGTATCAAAGACTTTGGAGTTGGAGCAATAAAATTACAGGAGAACATGGAACTTAGAAGATACCATAGCAGAAGCTCATCTGGCATCAAGTCCTCATAGAAAAGAGTCATAAACATTTAATATCACCGACTGCCTCATGAAGAAATAATTTAAAAACGAAAACTGATGAGGGGGAATGGTGACAATTATCATCCTCCCTTTCCTCCTTCAATTGGGGGACAATATGAATGACACTTTGCCAATTAAGATTACAAACATATGAGGATTCAGAAACTAAACTAGGAATATTAACCAAAAATAGGCTTTCTTTGGAATTAATTTAAATCAGGAGTTTTGATAAGGAACAATCTCAGTTATTTCCTCTTATCTATCATTATAATAGTGCTGGCCTGCCATGACAATACTTATTCTAAAATTAATAAGAAGAAAGCAACAAGGACTTGATGCAAGTATAACATTTTCAGACACAAGCTAATAATATAAATATGCTCCTGAATTCTGAGTCAACCGATAGACAAAATGTTTAATTCTCTACCTACTCAACCAAAAAACCTACCAAAAACAAAGCACAACAACAAAACTAAGAAGTAATGACTATCTCCTCAATACAAATGAAAAACAATTTCAAAATATGATCTATTTTGTTTCTTTCTCTAGCACAATAACAATTCCTGAATGAAACACCAAAGCTTAAGTTCACCAAAGCTATATTGAAAAAATAAACCTGGGAAAATCCCATGAGGGTCTTATAATTTTTAAAAAAATTAACCCCAAGTCTCTGCCAATACTAGTCCACAGGCCATCTGCAAAGACCCCATACATTATCATAATGGGAACAGCTAAACAAATTGGCTCCAACAGAAATACAAATAAATGGATTAAAAACTGGCTATCTAACCGTATACAGAGAGAAATCGTAATTGGTAGTCCGTCTAGTTGGGGAGAGGTTTCCAGTAGGGTCCCACAAGGATCGATATTGGGTCCCATTTTGTTTAATATCTTTATAAAAAATCTGGAAGACAAAGTAGAGAATGTGCTAATTAAGTCGACTGATGCTATTATATTTGGATTGATGTTTAAAGTAAATTGGATATAGATAAATGCTACTGGTCTTTAGAAAGCACAAGGAAAGACCAATGCTAACAGAGAATGAGTATTTGAATAAATTGTTTTTTAAAAATTTAATATTAAAAAAAATCAGACTCCAAGCAGTAGAAATAGACTGAAAAGATCTTAGTGGGTTTGCATTACAAAAGATTAGGCACAATGAATAAAGACAACACAGTCACAATACCCATAAATGCAGAATAAAAGACAGCCTCAAATAGAGAGCTCTCTGGTCCAGCTTTGATTTGAAAATTAGTGGTTGTAGGTTTCTCAATACAATAAGTATATTGAAGGCATTTCAGATATGTAAGAACCAAGGTGGTGAAAATACAGGAAAAACTAGATTTTCAAATATGCGTATACTTAGCTATTGGCGGAAAATTAAATAAGGAAATGACATAAAGCTTAAAAAAAGTATGAAGAGTTGAAAACTTGAAGGCATGAGCAAGAACAATGAGTGAAATCAACCAGATGCAAATTCTATTAGGAAACACACACACACACAAATAGAGGAATGCAAGGGATAATTGGAAGGAATCTCCTAACATTAAGATAAAGACTATATTTTTGAATTCCTGCAGAGGACCTTTGGAAAAAGAATATTAAATAGACATCATGATGTTTTGAAGTTTATTTGAAAAATCTTAGTATTTTATGACTTCATTTGTCACATGAAGAAAGCTGTGAAAGTGACACTTGCTTAATGGACTTTCATGTGCAGGTAGGTGGGATTTTCAGGTGAGGTCGACTGAGCTGGAATATATGAACAAATGTGGAATAGGCTTTTCAATTTTATTTAACATTTTCATTTGCTAGGACTGTGGAATGTATAGTGGATAAGGATAGGAAAACCCAGATCACGACTCAGAACTTTTGTTAACTGTGCTATGCGACCTTGGCTATTTTATCTTCTATATAAGACCCAGTTTTTGCATCAGTTAAATGCCAGGGCAGGAATTACTTTAAGAACTGCGAATTCTTTTATTAAAACAAAAACTTAAGGAAAACCAATACAGAAAAAAGATTGGAAAAAAGTGGAAGTATCTGTTCAATCAACATTGATCTCTCTACTGGACAGGCTTCTTGTTTTCAGTCCTCCCTGACCTCAGGACAGAGCAGTTTAAAAATCACTTCAGATAATTTGACACATTGCTTCCATCTCTAGGAAACTGTCAAAGGTAGGTGAACAATGTAATCTCTCTCCTCATTTTCCCAGAGCAGCCAACAATACTTAGCTGATTGTATGTGCTGGGTCTTTGGGGAAAAAAAAAGAACTTTAGAATTACAGTTGAAAAGAAGGAATATTCTTGATAAGAAGTAGAGTGGCATTATTCATGATGCTGACACAAAAGAAAGCACTGTGTAATCAGAACCCAGTGGGAATCTCCTATAATCTTTTATGCTGGTTGAAACAAGAAACCCTAAGAGTCTGGAAAGTTAGATGGTCAGCTTTTTGTATTAATTTAATCAAGATGGCTGTATAAGTGTTCTGTCCTAAGACATAATTGATAAAGTTTTACATAATTGGTTTGCTATAGATTTTACAGCTGGTATTCATTGAAAAAACCATTTTCTTGGCGGGATGTTAACATTTCTGACATATAACATTCCTCTCTAAATAATACTCTCTTTTAGGGATATGACTGCATTCTACATGGTAGAGCATGCAAAGCACACAAATTGGCATCACCAATAAGTTTGAAGACTGTAAATTTTATTTTAAAATATAACAATGCCTGCCATTTCTAGTATTTTATTAGTATTTACTACTTATTGAGGGACTATCATGTACTGAGGACTATGCTACCCTCTTTCCACATCACTGCAATAGTCTTCATAAAAATCTTATGAGAGAGGAATTAACCCCATTTTACAGAGAAGGAAACTGAAAGGCCAGAGAGGCTTAATTTTGTTTGTCACGTAGCTGTTTTTTTTTTTTTTTGAGTTGGAGTCTCACTCTGTCGCCCAGACTGGAGTACAGTGGCCGCTCCTGGTCACCGCAGCCTCACTTGCTGGGCTCTGGCGATACTTCCGCCTCAGCCTTCCGAGTAGCCGGAATTACAGGCATGTGCTACCACGCCCGGCTGATTTTTTGATTTATTGTAGAGATGAGGTCTCGCTGCCCAGGCGGGTCTCGAACCCGCGGGCTCAGGCAATCCACTCACCTCAGCCTCCCAAAGGCACGGGATTACAGGCTGAGCCACTGAGCCCGGCTGTCACATAGCTGTTAAATGGGAGGGTAAATACTGAACTTGACTGACTGTAAAATATTTATTTAGGACCACTGTACTAAATCATAACTCATGTCTTGATTCTTACACATGCTGGTCAAAGAAAGTGGAGAAATCACTTTTGTTTTAGGGCATTAAGAACAAGACAAGCATATTATTTTTTCTGAGTTTCAGTTTCTTATGTTTGAAACCAGGAAGTTATGGGGAAGTAGAAACCTGAGTCCCTACAACATACTGGATACCAGTAGCAAACCCTGTCTACTAGTTTTGACAACCAACAGTATTTCCAGACAATGACAACAATCCTCTGGGAGGCAAATCTCCTCCGATTTTGAGAACCATTGCACTAAAATATTTCTAGTATCGTTTTTGTTCTTTCATATTCTATCACTTGAATTGTGGGTCTACCTTTAGGCAAGAGATTTAGCTTTTCACCAATATGGGGTACCTGTCTAGTGAACTTTCTCTACTTCCATCTCAGAACAATTGAACTTACAACTATCTGAAACACTCCGGGTTCAGTTTGTATAAAATCTCTACTCTCTAGGTCTTACATTTATCATTTACATGCATATTGGTATGAAAAAATAGGGCAGATGAAAGTGAAAGGAGATCAGATGTTATTATTAAGTCAGCTTTGCATTATGCAATTGATTTAGACTCATTTGAAATTGCAGTCCTATGAGATGCTTTCATTTATTTATTCATTCTCTTTTCTTTACTAAGGCTGCTACATGAGGAAAGTCAGAAAATGGGTTTTAAAAGCACTCTTTCATTTGACAGCCTGAGAGAGTCATAATGGTGGGTTGGAATTGCTTGACAGATTCCAGTAAGTGAAGCATTGGGCATGATAAAGAAATAGACAATTTCCTATATCCTATGACTTATAGTTCTCAAGGGCAATACTTAAAATTTGCATCATTGCAAATATCATCTTCTGAGAAAAGTGTCTTTGAACAGTCTAAAACTAATTATCAAACCTATGGTTATGTGAAAAACACTACTGAGTCAGAGGCTTCTGTAGGATTTGATCCAAATAAGATCCACTGTTAGAGATTACTTATGGTGTGCTATTGTTGGAATTAAATTTAAGTTAGAAACACTAAAAAATTAAATAAATAATCAATTATGGTTATAATTAATAATTCCAGTTGGTTTAAAAGGACATAATAATGCACTATTCATTGAATCCAACACTAGTTTATAACTTTGTAAATTGCAACACTTACAAATTTATAAACACTATTTAGGGCATATATTAAAATAAGACTTTAGTTTTTTTGGGTTTTTTGTGTTTCTTTTTAGACTGTTTCTAAGGGTTTACATTTGTACTATGGAGAAATAAATATACAAATATTCTGTCAGTGTAGAAAGTTCTATAGTAGGAAGTCAGGTGAAGTTAATTTGGAAAATAGCAAGAGCTGGCTCACTGGTGCTGTCATCAAAAGCATCAATGTAGCGATTCTCAAATTTTGATATGAATAAGAGTAACCTGAGGAACTTTTAAAACTTACGGTGTCTAGGCCTACTCCAAGACAATTAAGTCAGAATTTCTGGGGAAAGAACCCAGGCTTCAGTTTTTTAAATTCTTTCCAGGTCATTCTACCAGGCACCCAAGGTTGAAAACTATTGACTTAATAAACTCTCAGGGTTTTCAACTGTATGGGAATTCTTTGACCATGTCTGATTTAAGCAAGATGGTAGCTTCATATATTCAAATGCTGCAATAATATGTGGTATATGTGTAAAGTGATAAGCATCATTTAAAGAGAAAATTGTTTGTCTTTTCTTCCCTACGCTTCTTTATCTATTCATCTGATTGCTTCAAGGATAAAATCTCAGTTTGTTACTTGGTAGCATCTTTATACGTGCTTTTCTCTTTTAAGACAAAAGAATGCAGATTTCAGGGCTGGAGCCTTCATCTAATAAAAATATAATTTAATAACATAGTCTTAGTTATTATTTATATATAGTTGAAATTATCATCCAGCAAGTAATACTGACTGAAATGATAAGAAGTTTCCTTTTCAATAAATTTAATTAAGGTAAGTAAATTTAAAGAAAGATAATGTAAAGGATAATAGATATTTTAACTCATATATGGGAAAAAACCCCATAAAGTTGATTTATTTGACTATTTGACTAAAGGTGACTAGTCTCGGATGACTAATTTTGGGGCAACTCTACCATTAATGGCAAAGGCATCCAAATCTTGTGTCATGAGTTTGGTCTCTCCCTTTATCACTAATTATCTGTGTGATTTTGGGGCAATTACTCCATTCTCTTTCCTGGGCCTTGGTTTCCTCATTGTTAAACAAGGCCATTAACCTATGTTGCTAGTATTCTTCTCTGAATTTAAGAAGTAAGGAGGGCTTGCCTCTGAATTTACCTTGTTGACATCCAGGCGCATCTTTTCATTGTTGGCACTAGCAGCCTTCTCAGCTGCTTTCTTTTGGCGTTGGGGCCCCCTCCCAAAGAAAATGTAGTTGACTAAAGCATATTCCAGAAGGGCCATGAAAACGAAGACAAAGCACCCCATCAGGTACATGTCAATGGCTTTCACATAGGGGATTTTAGGGAGAGTTTCCCGGAGGTGGGTATTGATTGTAGTCATTGTGAGAACAGTTGTGATTCCTGAAAAAAAAAAAAAAAAAGAGAGAGAGAGAGTTAGAGTATTAATGAGAGAGTTAGAGATTTGGAGTATACTGTTACCTTCTTTCTGTTTTCACAATAGCTAGAAAGATTAACTGTACTCATTTACTCTTTTCTTATATGTCACAACAATTTTGTTGGGAACTTATTATACAACAGAAATATTATAGGATCTGAGGGTATGTACAAACTAATTTACAGTGGACATTGATCATTTTGGAATATTTATTTTTTTGGTTATATTTGTAGTTACGTATCTGGTGAAGGACTAGATATATGAATTAAATACTATGATAGAGACTTGTGTAAAGTGAGAGTTGAGAATATGTGATGAGGCAGAGAAGAGAAGAGAAGAGGAAATTGAGACTTTTGAGCTGATTCCTGAAGAATGAATAAGAGTTACTCAGGCAACCAAGAACTGGAGTTAAAAGTCATGGTAGACCTAAGGGCACTGATGGCAAGGAGAACTGGTTGTATAAGGGTTGGCTTTGAGGGAGAGTATATAGCCTGTTACAGGGATCTCAGAAAAATCATTGTGGGTACATTATAGAACAGGATGGGAAGAATCATGAGAAGCGTGAAGATTAAGTAAGGGCTGAATAATGGGGAGCCATGTATATAGAGCCTAAGGGTGGGAGAGTTGAATCTAAAGTTGATGGCCACGTATAGCACTGGGCAACTTCCAGCAGAAAGGCCCATTGTACTTAGGACAATCACTCTGGTATCAGTGTGGAGGATGAGGAAGTAGCGGGCAAGGCAGGATTAAAGAATGCCAGTGGGCCGGGCTCAGTGGCTCAGCCTGTAATCCCGCGCTTTGGGAGGCCGAGGTGAATGGATTGCCTGAGTCCGTGGGTTTGAGACCCCCGCCTGGGCAACTTGGCGAGACCTCATCTCTACAATAAATCAAAAAATTAGCCAGGCGTGGTAGCATGCGCCTGTAGTTCCAGCTACTTGGAAGGCTGAGGCGGAAGGATCACCGGAGCCCAGCAGGTTGAGGCTGCGGTGGCCGGGAGCGGCCACTGCACTCCAGTCTGGGCGACTGAGTGAGACTCCAACTCAAAAAAAAAAAAAAAAAAAAAAGGATGCTAGTGAACATGTTTGCAGAATAATCCAAGTTAGTGATGGAAAGGAAGTAAATTAAAATTACAGCAATAATACTGACTTCAATAAATACAAGATGTAGGACATATAGACGAAAGATTGTAAACATTTGGAAATTGGAAGTGGAGGGTAACAGAGAAGCAGGAGTCACAGCTGTTGTGTTTCTGGGTTGGACAATTAGGCATATAATACTCAGATAAATAACATACAAGACTCTTTATGGGAAATGCCATGCTAGGTCACAGTATAATTGTCCAGTTGAGTTGGTATCTCTGACAATAGGGAACAGTTTCTGTCAAAGCTGTAATTGGAAGATAAAAGCACTGGAGGTTCAGAGTCCTGAGTATGACAAAGTCCAGATTTGTAGCAAAATAGTGATGTGAAAATAGACAAAGATCAGAGGTCAAGATCACTTAGATGGAAAGTTGTAGAGTCATTGTTAGAACCAGAATTTTTCTGACTCAGGAATCTGGGCTCTTAGACACTTTCCAATAATGCATCCCCTAAATTAAATGAAATTTAATCATTTCTATGATTTTGACAGAGGATACTTTCTGACTTAATTTTGTTTCTCTAGTAATAACAACATAATCTTAATTTTGTTTCTTATACACCCTCATGAAACAGCTACAGAAATAAATTTGAGCATTTGATTCTGAGCACGCCTACAAAAGCCTTGGTCTTGCTTTAGTTATAGGTGTCTTACATTTCTCATATCTTTCTTATAGTTATTATTTTGAAACATTTCCCAGTTTCATTTTTCTCTTTATCATTTCAACTGCAGATTATCCTGAATCACATGTGGGTAATAAAACTGACAATTTTGATTATACTATTTATTTAAATCTTGTTTTAAAGTATTTCTATGCCTAACAATAAATTGCTCACATAAACAGACATTTTAAACATTTCTTTTAAAAAGTCAATAAATTATTTATTGTTTCTGTTATAGGCATAAAATAGACAACACATTTTAACTTAGGAAAATAGAGCACTTGCAGATTTTATTCATTCAGCAAATATTTACTGAGCGCCATTCCCTGTGCAAGACACTGCAGACATAAAACCAGATACAAACCTTTCCCAAGTGGATCTTTCAGTGCTGCCGGGTGAAAGGACATTATGTAACTAAATAAATATAAATTATAACTGTGGTTAGTCTACACAGGGGAGGTCTACAGTATTGTAAGAGTATATATCACAGGGATTTGACTCAGTCTGGAAGGTCATTCCTTTTCTTCCTTTATATCCTTGAGCCACCACAATTTAATCGCAACACTGAAGCAAAAGTGATCATGTAAAAACTAAAATCACATCATGCCACTTTGCTCAGTCATTCTCTATTCCACTCAGAACAGAAACAAAGGATTTACCATAGCTTAAAAACTTATTTGTGATCTTTTAGTCCCTTTTCCTCAACAGTATGTCTGCTAAGTCCCCTGACTCAAACTGTGTTGGCCTCACAAGCCTCCTACTGACATGCTGAGCCTGTGGCTACCCCAGAGCCTTTGCAGTAGCCTGAAACATTATTACCCAGATAACTACATAGCTTTTCATCTTCAAATCTTTGTCCAAAGACAACTTCTGAGTCGGATCTGTAATCCCCGACACACCCAAGCTTCCTTACCCTGTTGGATTATTCTGCAAACAGGTTCACGGCATTCTTTATTCCTGCCTTGCCCGCTCCTTCCTCATCCTCCACACGGATACCAGAGTGATTGTCCGAAGTACAATGGGCCTTTCTGTTGGAAGCTGGCCAGCTATACGTGGCCATCAACTTTAAGTTCAACTCTCCCACCCTTAGGCTCTATATACATGGCTCCCCATGATTGTATAATTTGCATGGCTACTAAATGTACTGCCTATTTTTTGATAGAATATAACTTCCAGAAAGGGATTGTTGTATCTTCAGTGCCTAGTATACTTAGCACATATTAGGTGGTCAGTGAATGCTTGTTGAATAAAAAAATGAATGACTTTTCTAAGAAAGCAATATTGAATTGACATCTCATGGCAAATAAATGAACAATTCAACATTTTAAAGGGAATAGTCAGAACTCAAAATAATAAAGATTGTACAAAATGTCCTAAATTTGTTTCATGTTCATGGAATAGCATTTATTTTCATCTAGTGTTATAACAGAAAAAAAAAATCAGGCATAAGATGAGTGATGCCACAGATGATTTCCCAGCATTCTTACTTTGAGGTCTCCTGCCTCAACCATGCTACTCCAAAATGTTAATAAGACTAGAATTCTTTCTGCTTATCCCTTGCTACACACCACATCTCCTTGTTTCTTACTCAGGAAATAAAAATAGAGATGGAAGGGAGCTTTTCTTAAGTAAAAAAAAAAAAAAAGCACAGATACAAATTGAATAATTATACAAGCAAAACTACATGAAATATGTTTCAATAAAAGTATCACACTGATGGGACTAATTTCATTACCAACAGCTATATAGTTAACTCATCCTGACATGGAAGAGTTTTAATTTTTGTTTAATTGATTTAATGCTGAATCAGATCATTCAAAGTTTCACAGCTAAATACTTGTAATGCACCAGGTCATCTCATCATGCATCACAAATTTCAAGATGCATCACAAATTTTACGCATGTACACAAAGAGTAAACTCCATGAGCACTTGTAAGATGTCCTACCTAATGCCACTCTTGCAGCTGAGGCGTCATAATTAATCCAGAAGGAGACCCAGGAGAGGATGGTAATCAAGATAGAAGGCATGTACGTTTGCAGGATAAAGTAGCCAATGTTTCTCTTAAGCTTAAAGCTGAGGGACAACCTGGGATAGGAACCTAGAAAGGCAATTTTTGAACATCATTATTATCAATAAGTATTTACAGGATACTTTTCTTCAAAGGTCTATAAACAGTGTATATATCTCTAAACTCAATTTTAACTCTTAGTGAAGAATATTTTCTTTTGCAAAAGTAACCTGAGAGCACTGGGTTTTTATTTAGGAGGAGTTACTCAGTGCGGCATACATCTGCACTCAGCAGTAGTTAAAAGTTCCTGCTCAGCCTCATATGTTGTATCAAAGATAAGCACTCTCTGCAATTGTGATGACAAGACAATTTGGGACAGCCCCTTTGTTCATTGACTCAATTGTTTTCAGAAGTTCATCATGTAAGTGTTGTCTTATATAAGAATGAGGTTGCATGCTCTCATAATAAAAGAAATATCTTCACAAGCCCCAGGATGCATTTTAAGTCTTTGATCAACGATGAAGCTTCATGGAATGCAAGTTTGTGTAAGTTTTCATGTGTATGCATTCTTTTCTTTTTAAATAGTTTCATTGCTTCCATCAGAATTCTAAGAAGATCTCTGATCCATCAAAAGGTGAAAAATCATTGTTTTTAAGCAGTATTTTTGGGGGATACAACTAAAGCATCAGTTTCCTAAATCTGAGTCTTTTGGCTGTGGTGATCTGGGGAATTATTCTTTAAACAATATAAATAACAGAGCATAGTCTTAGAATATGAGAAATTCACAATGATAAATGGCCAGAGGGACAATATCCCCATTGTTTGAAAGAAAGACTTCTCTAGTCTTCTTGGGCTAAGCCAGGTGTCTTACTACGAAAGTAAGAATATTTTAAGTAGGAATCATTTCTATAGATATTTTTAGGGACTTCGAGGATATAAAATACCGGAAAAGTTTCTGCTGTTTGTTGTTTTAAAGCTAAAGTCGACTTTGTATTTTTACCAAGTCACCAGCTTTTTCTCGAAGTGGTTTGTGGGCACATCAAGTATCCAAATGCTTAGCAGAAAGGCAATTGCAGTATTAGCTATTTCTGTGACTGCAGAATTCATTTCAATAAGAACAGAGAGAAGGGTTTTTCCTGTGGGTCTAGTATTTTTTTTCCTTAAGTGTCTGTCTAGCAAATTATTCCCTTCCTGGGCTTTTCTGTTCCAAAAAAAAAAAAAGTAAAAAAATTGTCCCAATGAAATCAAGTCTGACAGTCCAAAATCTCAGAAGTGAAAAGGTAAAGATGGAGAAGGCATCAAGATAATCTTAACATTTGAAACAGTTTTCAGCTCACACAGCAGGTAAAACTATGAAAATAAATGACTACCCTTTGAGGAAAACATGAAATCCTCCTACTGTCTTTGGAGAATTTCACTGTGGTCGGCTTTGCCTGAACTGCCGCTTGGCTCTCCCTGGTATGTTTCAGAGAACTATGATCTATTCTGTGGAGTGCATCTCTAACCCAGATCTTCATTTCACTGTCTGTATTCTGTCTCTAAAAATTAGTCCTTTCTCCAGAAAATGAGAAGCATAGAGAGGACACTTTTAGCTTTGCTGAAGGTGTCTTCTGTAAGATAATTGTATGGATTCTAAGTGAAGAAACAGGCTTAACATAAAACAGAATTTTCGGCAGATTTAAGTCTTCTAGAGTCACTGCCTTCCTCTGGGACACAACCCTGAAATAAGTGAACACTTTTAACAAAATACGATAAAAATTATTTTCCCTTAACCCTCTTCCCTGATACAAACCTGTGGAAAACACGACCTTCTTGGTGATAAGTTTATAATCTACGATAGAGAACTGTGGAAGTTCAATCTTTGTTACTCCTGTTACTGCATTATCATCTCCACGCCAGTAAAACTCAATGTCATCGGTTGTATATCCATCTGTAAAAGGAAACACACACACACACACACACACACACACACACACACACAAATGCACAGGACAGAAAACAGACAAAACAGAAAAAATACATGTTTAGAAGGTGAACTATATAAATAATATAAAGCTATAGCTAAAGGTTGTTTTGGGGTAGGTACCATATTAAGCATTTGAAATCTATTACGACATTTTATCCTCACAACAATCTCATTAGGGAAGTATAATTAGACCTAAATGAGACAACACAAGATTACAGAAATTAACAACATACATTTCTTGCAATTAAGACGTGGCATAGTCAGGAAACTTAAACTCAGGTTTATTTGATTATGAATCTTATTTCATCAAACATTATCACATAGGATTATAACCCTAGATTTTACCCTAAGAGAAGATAAAAGAAAAAAATCATTCAACTTGTCAATTTAGTGCTAAGTGCTATTAAACTCTCTCCCAATATAAAATATTTAAATTACAATATATCTGGGCTTTAAATCAGAAGAGAAGTGATTTCAAAGATGTGAATAATCATTTTCTTCACCTACATTATTTCCAAGTTTGATTTTGTAACATATCTAGTTTTGATGAAAACTTTTGCAACAGAACTCAAAGCAACATTAACTCCAATAGCTTTGAGGAGTAGGTATAAATTTATATTGTATATTGTACATACACAGTTCATTTAGGAGGCATATTTCCATTTATTCAACAACGATTTATTAAACACCTACTAAGCTCATCAGTGCACAGTTGTTGGGGATAGTAATAAAGACATGCTCTCTGTTACAATTATATTTTTGAACCATAGGGCAGAGTAGAATTGTAACAAATAAGCACACATATAATTCTACTAGAAAGCAAACATTTAACTGTAATGAATCAGCAGATATAGATTGTAAACAGTGCTATGCTGGGAAGCATGCCATGAAATCCAGTGAAAACTACTAATAGTTTACAAACTTGTCTACTCCCCAAAATTTCCCAAATAAAAAACATACATCTGTATACATTACATATGAAGAGATATCACATGTATCTCTTCGAATAACTTTTGTATCTGGATAGCTAAATTTTTGTGTGTCAGAGGTAGGTAGGATGGATATTGCTCCCCTAATTTCAAAAGCAACAAACAAGTTAAAAAGACAGCTTAAATTCTTTGCCTTTTGACATGTGTGTGACTAGTTAGTGTGACAGGGATGACTAGAATACCAATCCTTTAACTCCTAACTTCAGATGATTTTCAATAAACCACCTCTCTTTCCTCTAGGGAGAGGGAGTTCAATCTCTAAAACAAGGTGGAAATAAATTATTTTCTTAAAGACCTAAGAAACCCTTAATTTGGGAACTATCACATGTAAACCATACCACAGCTCAGGTCATGACTTAACTTTTCTGGAAGCCTGCAGTTTTGTTTATTCATAAAAGCAGTCACCTTTATCTGATGCAGAATTAAAGTACTTTTGGAAGAGTTATTGAGCATTTGAATTTCTGGTAGCACAACTATAGACTTTTGTATAATAGCTAATGATTGCTAAAATGCTTGGTTACTTATAAATACCATAAACATCATATATTGAAACCAAAATTAGAATTTTAGTTGATTATGCACCACTATTTTATTAGTATGATCTAATCTAGAGCCAATTGCTTTGCTAAAGTGCAGTTTTTCATAGAAAACGTTTATTTAAAAATAAATTTCAGGCTCATGATTTTAAAGCACATTCAAAGTGTTAAGGGAACTGCACAGTAAACAAATGCTCGGAAAAGGGCTCCTTACTTCCCGTTAATATTCTGTACTTAATGAGAAGTGAAGTGCCTATCCCAAAAGATAACTACCTTCTTTGTAGTTTCAACTTCCTTAATACAATAACAAAAACACTTAGTGCCAGATCACAATTTCAAATGTAAGCCAGGCTCTCACTGATTCTTTATACAGATCTTTCAGTTACAAAATAGTTCAGAATCAATAATAATCTCACTTCTCATAAATCAGTTTAAAATAACAAAAAAGGGCAATGATTCCAGAAATTAAGCCAGGTATTTGGAAATGCATTGTAAAATCATATCTGTAGCATATAAATACGAAAAAAGTATTTATAAAGCAAGAAAGTAATCGTTTCCCATAAAGTGTTACTACTAACCAAGATTCTTCTTGATTTTTCCCAGATAACAATATGCAGCTTATTATAACTGGTAACTGTCCTTTATTGAATCAGTCAACAATATATGGTAGGTACTTTGCTGGCCAGACACCATCCTCTTAAAGATAATTAAAGCCTCATAACCAAGGACACTGGGTTTCATTATTTAATGTGTCCAGGAAACCATTAAAGATTCTTATTTAGCTTATCAGGGATTGGCTTGAGGATCTGATTTTTAAAAATAAACATTTCAGATAAAATGAAAAAATTGAGAAGCGTTTGTCTAGCAGATGAAGAAGAAGATGATAGCAATTAAATCAGCACAGTTATATATTGAATTTAGCCATTCATTTTACTAGGAACTCCATTAAACACCAGTTTCATTATCTCATTTCATCTTCACAACAATTATTTTATAGGTAAGCACTATTTATATACTTTATTTTAAATATTGAGCACCCATACTGAAAGGTAATTATTTTTATCATCATTCCATGATTGAGAAAACTAAGACCCAGAAAGATTACATAACTTGCTAAAAATCACACATCTGGTAAGTTATTGAATAAAGAATTGATGCCATATCTCTGTAACTAACTCCAAAGACATCATTTTTCCACTGCATCCTCATCCTAACTGCTAAGAAATATAAAATATGTAACATGTTTCAAGAAAGCAAATGCCCATTTTTGTACAAAGTCAGCAATCTTCAAAAGAAGAGAATGAGAAAAAAAGTCAACACTCACTATTTCTTATAAAATATTAAGTTTAAACTAATGAAGAGTATTTCTGGTCCTCCAACTTTCTTTCCTCCTTACCTTCCTCAGTATTTGCCTTCTTTTGTTCATCACAATCAATTTTATAACAGAAGCTATCTGTGGGAAGAGGAATGGGAATATCTGTGGCATTTCAACAAGGTTGTTTAAGAGCTGTGTCTTAGCCATTCCACAGGCAGAAACACTACCAAGAACTACAGACTTATTTTGTCAAAATGCTAGATATCTGACACTGTTGCTAGACAATACTTAGTAGAGAACAGGTACTCAATTAATATTATTGCATTAATAAAATAATTATTAAATGCATATGTGAGTTTAGGCTGTTGGCTATTTATACAGATGCTTTATCAAGATGTTTATCTATTGCAATGGCATACATTGGGTTTGCACCTATATCTCTTTCTCCTAACATGGTCCCTGGCACACAGTTGGCACAAAAGAAACATTATTCTGAGTGAATAAGAAAGACACCCCAGAAAAAAGTCCTTAGGAATTACCTAAAGGTTCTCCACTATATATTTCTCCCTATGTAATAGTTCTTCCTAAGTTACTTCACCTCTCTTTGCCCTCTATTTTCCCATTTGTAAATTGGGATGATGATGATGATGATGATAATAATAATAGGTACTTCACAGAGTTGTCATGCAGAAAAAAAAAAGAAAAAAAAACACATTGTAAAATGCTTTGAATGGTACCTGGCAGATAATATCAAATATTTTAATTGATACTTTAAAAAATAAGTATTAAACATAAATAAAAAACACATTTAGTTGCGTACCATTTTTTGCTATTAAATGAACACATACAATTTGTACAATGAGAAATTTAGCTGTTTAATCACATTTACAGAACTCTACAAAATGTCTGGAAATTGATAATAAAATATTTGAAGGTTATTTTGATGTCTAATTTTTAGGATCCAGCACAACAGAGCAGCATCTTGTACCGTATGTATTTCCTGGCTACTGCTAGTCTCAAAAACCTAAATCTTCTTGACTTCATTTTAGGCTAACCAAGTATAGAACGTTGCAAATGGAAAGCAAATGCATGTTCTTGCATCACCGGTTTCTAAAGATGAAAGATCAAAAACCCATGACAGTGCTGGGGTGGTCATGTTCAAAAGCTGCCTCAATATACGGAGTAGGATTAGCTTAAAGCAGACCTAGTTTTCTTCTTTTCTTTGAATCTTCTTTGCAGGAATATTTAGCAGTCTTTCAAAGTGATTAAAAACTAAAAGAAACATATGCAAATCTATATGACCTGACTTATACAGCTTTCATAATGAGTAAAAAATAATTCGATTTCTTTCAAAAGATATGAGGAGGAAATGCACAAAGCCCTTCTTTAATGTATGGTAAATTAAACTCAACTTTTATATTTTATTATTTATGGGATTCCAGAAACTGAGTCATTAAATTATTTTGTATCGTTATCATCAAAAACATAACCCACATAGTGAATTCAGATAGCCTATAAATAAACCCAAAATACAAATTCACTGGCATTCACCGAAGGAATAAAGCTATATGAAATGTTACAAGTCTCTGATCAGGAAGCACAAATATGTAAATTTATAAGTCTACATAAAATATAAATGATAAATATGCTCTCTTTCAAATATTGGTAAAAATATACAATATAAGATCTAAGGAGTAGAAATGTGACTTTTAAAACACTCATATAATAACTAAACATGTTCTCACAATTGTGACATTATCTTTACCTAACATGGCATTTTAAAAGGTTTTTTCTGTCTTTACTGTCAGTCTACATGTCTTTTTGTTATCTAGCAAGCAAATATTTCATTTTAGAATGATTTACTCAGCAAAGAATATGAACCTGTACCAAGATATTAAACAGCGGGACCAATGAGAACATTTAGAAGAGGTGACTTATCAATGCCACCATTGATTTTTTTCTAGTGAAACATTAAAGTGACTTGTTCTTACACTACGTATTTAAATTTTGTTCCTCAATTGAATTGGGAAATGTTCTAGGATAATTATCTATTTTATACCTCCCACTGTAGCCAATATAACAATCATCATATAGCAGTTGCTTTAACTTGCTAATTCTCATTTA